AAATTTTTAATCAACTAAATTTAAGTATTAAAGTTTAGAGATAAATCATTAAACCCAAAAACTTGATTTAGTATTATTTATGAGTTTAGGTAATCAAGTAAATGGAGTTATCATTTTAATCAAAGTCAATTAGGTTTTTTTAAGGGTACAAGATAAAGATGTATAAATATATATTTTTTATAATTAATTTGTATTCAAAATATAAATATAAATATTAATTTAATTAATTAATTAAAGTCATTTGCATATCATTAGTGTTAAAATATATGTTCATTTTTATAATTTTTTATAAAATTAATTATAAAAAATTTATTTATTACACGTTAATTTATGTCTTTAATACACAGATTAAATAAAGCCAAGTTAATTTTAGTTGGAAAATGGAATATAATATGCACATGCTATAGTTCTGAAATGAATCAGCAAGCCAATGGTTTTAAGACTTCTGTATTCTTACTACAATTGGGCCAAGATCTCATGGATGGATATAAAGAATTAATTGTATACTTTTAAACAGATAATAATATATTTAAAAGTAATTTTAGAGTTTTTATTTTGAAATTAAAATCAAGGAAAGTCAAACTACTAATTAACCTCCTAGTGTGAAATAAATCTTTCCTTCTAAAAAAAGGGAAATAAAAAGGAGAAGGCCTTGTCCAGGTCAATCCGCTCAAGTACGCAAACATATACAGCTGCAAATTACAGTGTTGAAGAGGAGAAGAGAAGACTAGAAAGAGTTTTTACACACCCCTCAACAATGGTTTTTACCTTTGAAATGATAAGTTACATCTACATTTTTTTTTATTTGACAATGGTTTGTATAATATGATGTAGCAATAGTATTTTATATAATTAACTTATTTTACTTAAAAGTCATATGTAAATCAGTATGCATTTAATGGTGTCCATATCATGTTGTTATATTGTATAAAGTATTGTAAAACAGTAATATTACCATTTACATTTTAATCAAAGCAATTGGCAAGGTAATGGTTGCTAGTGTTGACATAATGGCACAAGCCACTAGTTGTTAAAAGAAGTAATTGTTATTTAAAAATGGGTTTAATATAAAATGTAAATATAGAGGGTTTTACTATTTGGACACTAATTGGTATATCATTTAATTTAACATATTGTACAATATATATTAGAAAATTATTATTTTTTTATCTAAAATTATTTTTTATTTGATATTAAAAATAAACAAATTTAAAGATGAAATCATATATATATACAGTATTCACGAACTGATTTTATCAATTATACTTATGTTATATTTTAATAACTGTAACGACAAGTCCGAGGTGCCAAGCCTCGGACTGCTACAGTAATTCATTTATGACCGAAGTGAAGGATAGACCCAGAGCTTCCCGCTCAAATAGCTGCATGACACTAACAATGAGCATGCCCGCACCCGATTCCTTATGATGAGTGGCACAGCAGGTATGGTGGAAACCTGTGCATCTGAATACCTCTCAAATTCCCGGTCCCGGAATAATCGTCTGGATGGACACGTCAGGCTCCGATTATCTTGCTTGGCATGCCACGTGGATTCCTCATCGAATCCTATAAATACCCCCTCCGGGCCATGTCAAAAGGTAATTGAAACCAACCCTAAGCTCTTTTTATCTCCGCCCTAAAGGTAGCCCCGATTATTGCTGACTTAAGCATCGGAGTGTCTATCCCAAGTTCCACCTTGGGGCTTTGCAGGTCATCCCAGAGTACAGGCGTGGGCTGAAGAAGGACTTCTGGTTTGGTGCAATTACATTGGCGCCGTCTGTGGGAATCGAACTGAAAGCTTTTTAGTTGCTCTTTCATCATGGTTCACACTCGATCGGTCCGAGCTGGTAATTCATCTCTACCTCATGGGAAAGGTCAACCCCCCAACAACCTTCCACCTCTGATTCCCCCCCAACTTACACCTCAGCTTCCACCTCAGGTCCCCATTATGTTCCCTCCTGTTGATCATGCTGAAGGAGGAGATGAAAACCAACTCCATGCCTCAGCTCACAATTCCACTTCAACTGCCAACCAAGACGTAGTGGCAGCTCAGCTTGCTGCCATGCAACAACAGTTCGGTGTTTTTCAGTTGGTATTGGCTCAACTTTTAGCTAGAAACAATCCTGGTGACCCCCTCATTAATCTACTGAACCCTGCTCAACAACCCCCAGCCCCACAACAGAATCCTCAACTGGCTCAGCATGCTCCCGCTATTAGTGAATCTCAGGGTCAATCCCACATCGCACCTGCTCAACAACCCATCCCTGATGATGTCACTCGACGCCTCGATAGCTTGGAAAAGCTAGTTGCTGAACACCGAGGTGCTCCACCCCCACACCAAACTGCTGACTCCATACCTCACCCTCTGAATACCAACATTACATTGGAACCTTATCCTGCTGGCTTCAAAATACCACAACTGGAGACTTATGACGGGACAAAGGATCCTGATGATCATTTGCATGCTTTCTACTCTTGCATGCAAGCTCAGAACGCCTCTGACGCATTAATGTGCAAAATCTTCCCCTCTACTCTCCGAGGTAATGCCCGAACTTGGTATTACAATTTACCTCCGAGGTCAATTAGCTCTTATACAAAAATGACATCTGCCTTTGCCACTAAGTTTTCCAGTAGAAGGTTGATTAGGAAAACTACTTCTGAGCTGATGCGAGTTAAACAGAGGGATGGAGAATCTCTAAAGAACTATATGAGCAGGTTTAATGATGCAGTTTTAGAGGTTAGTTCCTTTGATCAAGCTGTGGGAATTGCAGCTGTAATCTCCGGTCTCAAGCATGACAGGTTCAGAGACAGTTTGATCAAACATGCTGCCACCACCTTTAGCGAGGTGAACGATAGGTCTCTGAAATTTATAACTGCTGAGGAGTACGCCCTGGCGCAAAACCCACCTCCCACTAAGAACCAGCACCCAGATTGGAGAGATGACAATCTGAGCAGGAAAAGGATGAGGATGGCGCAGAACCGAAGTCCGATGTTGACCTCCCCAACGAGATTAGGAAGGATGAACTCAACACCCCCGCAACAATCTGCAGGTAAACCTCCAGTTAATTGGACTCCCTTTAATCTGCCGAGGTCACAAATTTTTATGCAGATCAAGAATAAGATGGATTTAAGGCGTCCTGGCCCAATGAAAACTACTGCTGCTAGTCGAGACCACACCAGATATTGTGATTTTCATCAAGATCATGGCCATACTATAGAGCAGTGCAATAGCTTAAAGTCCGAACTGGAAAGTTTAGCTTAGAAGGGAATGCTAAATCAGTATGTTCAGAGAGCTGAACAGCCGAGGTTTATCAGAGAACAGAGGCCACAGCCCCCAGGAGTCCACAATCCCCCAAATAAGCAAGGTGTGGGATATCAGCAAGCCCCACCTCCGCTCCCACCCCCAGCCAGAATCATACACATGATTACGGGAAGCCTTGAAGCAGGTGGACTGAGCTCTAAGTAGCGAAAGCTGTATGTCAGAGAGATTAAACATCAAAACCGAGCTCAGAAACGGAAGATTGACGATGCTGAGTGGAAAAATCAGCCCATTACTTTCACATCTGCTGATCTCGATACAGTTGTTACACCCCACAATGATCCTTTGGTCACTTTTGTCATGATTAATAACTGTGAAGTACAGCGTGTCCTTGTTGACACCGAGAGTGCACCAGACATCATGTACTTCCACTGTTTCAAGAGTCTAGGACTGGATCCAGCATTGTTGCAGAAATATGATGGTCCTATCTATGGCTTCAACAATCAGCCTGTTCCGGTAGAAGGAGTTCTTACCCTCCATGTGGCTTTTGGGAGTGGCAGGACCTATGTGACTCATTCAGTCCAATTCCTCGTAGTCAAAATGGCGTCCTCTTTCAACATTGTTATTGGCCGACCCACACTGACTGAAATCCGAGCTGTGGTTTCCCAGTCTCACCTCTGTATGAAGTTCCCAACTCCTATGGGAATAGCAACACTACGAGGAAACCAGGAGGTGGCCAGACATTGTTATATCACCTCCGTAACACAACCTATGAAGGGCAAAGATCCGACACCCGAGGCCATTCCCCAACCAATTTCTGATAATCAACAAGTTATGGGCATTGAGATCGTCGATAATCGCCCGAAAGATGAAACCAAAGCTGCTCCGGTCGAAGATGTTGAAGAGGTGCTCATTGATGACAGAGATCCGAGCCGAAAGACGTAGATTGGAACCAGATTGAACCCAGAGGAACGAGCAGAGTTAATAGCCTTTCTCCGAGCTAATAATGATGTATTCGCATGGACTTCGGCCGATATGCCAGGAATTCCGAAATCAGTATTCCAACACAAGCTTAGCACCAATCCATTGAAGAAACCAGTGGCCCAAAAGCGACGTCTCTTCAGGGGGGAGAGGCTTCAGGTTATTAAAGAAGAGGTAGAGAAACTTCTACAAGCTGGTTTCGTCAGGAAAGTTGATTACTGCGAATGGGTGGCTAACCCAGTCCTGGTGAAGAAGGCAAACGGTAAAT